GAACGCCGCCGCCCCCGATTTCGATTTGGCGCGCATTTTTTAAATGGCCATTTCCGTTTTGGCGGTCGGGGCGCCAAAAGGCCGGAAAGGGGGCACGTCAACGCCCGGTGCTGTGTGCTGAGTCAGATCAGAATCAAAGAGGGACAATCGCCACCCCATCGTCGTCATCGTCAAAAGATGAGAAAAAAATCATCAAATTTAGTTTTGCCTTCTGTTGTTTCCTCCACAAAATCGCTCACACCCCCCGCCCCGGCCGGGCACGCGTCACCCCCTCCCCCCCCCTCTTCCTCTTTCAGCACATGAAATTTTAAAATCAATTCAAAGCCTTTTTAAAAAGCCCCGGGCCCAAACCGCGGGGGCCCCCCACTCCGGACAACACCCCCCAAAAAACACACACACACACACACCCACACACACACACACACACCACCACACACGACATGATCCGCGCCCAAGTCCAGATTGGGTGCCCCCAACCCCCATGGCCCCCCTTGTTCGCCGACCGCGGACAATGCGACTTAAAACGCCTCCCCCCCCCTTTCCCCCCCCCCACTAAAAAAAAGGCCCGTTGGTCCGCCTTTTGGGGCGCAAAACCCCTCCCCCCCCCCGCCCCGGGGGCCCCCCGGGGCGGGGGGGGGGGGGGGGTTTTCGCGCCAAAGGGGGAAATTCCCACCGATCCTTTTTTGTTTTGTTAAAGGGGGGGGAAAGGGTGGGGGGGCGCAATTGTTGCATTGTTGGGCCCGGGGAAAAAGTGCCGTGCGGGGGGCCCCACGGGCTGGGGGGGGAAAAACCATTCGTGGGGTGGGGGGTGGGGGGGGGGGGGGGGGAGGGGGGCCCCGCCGGGCCTTTTGGCCGGGCTCAAAGGCTTTGGGGAAAAGGGGGGGGAATTCAGGGGGGCAAAGGAAGAGGAAAAGGGGGGGGGGGGGGCGGCCGAGGGCCCCCCGGGGCCAAGACCAAACCCCCCCCCCCGGGGGGGGCCCCCAAAAAAAAATTTTTTTCCCCCCCCCGGGCCGGGGGGGCCCCCCCCCCCTTTTTTCCCCCCCAAAAAAAACCCCCCCGGGGCCCCAAAAAAAGGGGCCCAAAAAGGGGAAAAACCCCCCAAATTTCGTTTTTTTTTTTAAAAAATTTTCCCCCGGCGGGGGGCCAAAACCCCAACCCCCCCCCCCCCTTTTGGGGCCTTTTTTTAAATTTAAAAAAACCCCCCCGGGGGCCCCCAAAAAAAAAAAACCCCCCCAAAAAAAAACCCCCCCCCCCCCAAAAACCCCCCCCCCCCCGGGGGCCCCCCCCCTTCCCCCCCCCTTTTCCCCCCCCGGGGAAAAAAAATTTTTCCCCCCCGGGGGGGGGGGGCCCCCCCCTTTTCCCCCCCCCAAAAAAAAACCCCCAAACCCCCCCCCCCCAAAAAACCCCCCCGGGCCCCCCCCCGGGGCCCCCCCCCCCCGGGGGGGGGGGGGGGGGCCCGGGCCAAAAAAACCCCCCCCCCCTTTTTTTAAAGGGGGGGGGAACCTTTTTCCGGGCCCCCAAAAACCCCCCTCCCCCCCCCCCGGGGGGGGGGGGGGTTTTTTGGGGGGGGGTTTTTTTTGGGGGGGGGGGGGGGGGTTTTTGGGGGGGGGCCCCGGGGGGGTTTTTGGGTTTTCCCCCCTTTCCCCCCCGGGGGGGGGGGGGGGGTTTTGGGGCCGGGCGGGGGGGGGGGGAAAACAAGGGGAAAAAAATTTTTTAAAAACCCCCCTTTTCCGGGGGGGGGGCGGGGGGGGGAAAACCCCCGGGTTTGGGGGGGGCCCCCCCCCCCCCCCCAAAAGGGGGGGGAAAAAAGGGGGGAAAAAAGGGGGGGGGGGGGGGGGGCCCCCCCCGGGGGGCGGGGGAAAAAAAGGGGGGGCCCCGGAAGGGGGGGGGCCCCCCCCACCCCCTTTTGGGGCCCCCCCCCCCCCCCGGGGGGGGGGGGGGCCCTTGGGGGGCCCCCCCCGGGGCCCCCCCCCCCCCCCCCCAAAAAAAAAAGGGGGGGGCCCCCCCCCCCCCGGGGGGGGGGGGGGAAAAAAGGGCCCGGGGGGGCCCCCGGGGCCCCGGCCCCCCCCTTTGGGGGGGGGGTTTTTTTTTTTTTGGGGGGGGGCCCCCCCTTTTTTGGGCCCCCCCCCGCCCCCCCCGGGGGGCCCCCAAAAACCCCCCCCCCCAAAAAACCCCGGGGGCCCCCCCCAAAAAAAGGGGGGGGGCCCCCCCCGGGGCCCCCCCTTTCCCCCCCAAAAAAAAAGGGGGGCGGGGGGGCCCCCAAAAAAACCCCCCGGTTTTCCCCCCCGCCGGCCCCCCGGGGGGGGGAAAAAAAGGGGGGGGGCCCCCGGGGGGGGGGGCCCCACCCAAAAAAGGGGGGGGGGGGGGCCCGGGGCCCCCCCCGGGGGGCCCCCCCGGGGGGGGGCCGGGGGGGGGGGGGGGGGGGGGGGGGGCCCCCCCGGGGCCCCGGGTTCCCGGGTTGCCCCCCCCCCCCCCCCCGGGGTTTTTAAACCCCCAAAATTTCCCCCGGGGACGGGGGGCCCCCCTTTGGGGCCCGCCCCCCGGGGGGCCGCCCCCCCCCCTTTTTTTTTCCGGGGGGAAAAGGGGGAAACCCCCCCTTTTTGGGGGGGGGGGGGTTTTTTTGGGGGGCGGGGGGGGGGTTTCGGGGGGGGGGGGGTTTTTTTGGGGAAAAAAAACCCCCGGGCCCCCCCCCCAAAAATTTTTTCCCCCTTAAAACCCCCCGGGGGGGGCCCCCCCTTTTTTGGGGGGGAAAAGGGGGGCCCGGCCTCTTTCTCTCTCCACCCCCGGGGCCCCCCCCCCCCCTTTTTGGAAACCCGGTCCCCCGGGCGGGGGGGGGGGCCCTGGGCCCCGGGCCCCCCGGGGGGGTTTTTCCCCCCGGGGGAAAAGGGAAAAAAAGGGGGAAAGGGGGGGGAAAAAAAAAGGGGGAAAAAAGGGTCTGAGCAATTCGAAGCCATTCGACCGCATTGCGCGGATTGCGCGCCGTCTCTCTTTTCTTTGCGCGGATTCCTGGCGAATTTCCTTCCAGCCGTGTCGTTTGTCCGGGGGCGCCCCGGGGCGCCCCCGGTGCAGTGGCCGCCGCCGCCGCCGCCGCCGCGCCTGCGTGTCGGCGTGTCCCCATCCGCGCCGCGGCTGCGCGGGCACGCCGTCGGCGGCGGCCTCCACGGCGGCTAAGCGCCCCGACGAGCCGCCCCGCACGGCCGCCGCCCTGCTCGCGACAGTCCTTTCCCCCAAACCCAAAGGGTCCACGGACGGGACGGGCTGGACCATGGCCGCCGCAGAACCGCCACCGTGTTTTCAGGACGGCCCCGACGGCCGCGGCTCCGGCTTGGGGTTTGTGTGAACCTCGACGAGGGGCCCTTTCCGGGGGGCCTCCAGTGGCCGCACTCCAGTTATGTTCCAGGCGGGACGAGGCTGCTGGAGATGCCCAGTGAGCGTCTTCGCGCTGCTGGTATATGTCCCACCTTTCTCACGGGGCCGAGGTGGCCGGGAGGCTTATATGTGTGTGTGAGTGAGTGAGTGTGGAGGAGGGGCAGCATGATCCCACTGCGAGCAGCTCTGCGTATAGCACTGCGTATAGCACTGCGCACACATTTGGCCGGACAGTTTGAATGGCGAGAGCATCGCGAAGACTTCTGCCTCCGCCTGGACGCCCCATTGGCTTTCCCATGAGGAAGCAGCGCCGCGGCGGGGGTGGGGCCCGGGCCGCGCTGGCGTGCCTGGCGGGCTGGCGTGGGCCGCCCCCGGGGGTCACAGGCCCGGGGGTCAACAGACGAGCCTTCGTGATTGGCGGTCGGTACGTCGGGTAGGGCGGTACCCGGTGGGAGAGACAGCCTGCACGACGGCATGCTCGACGACAATGGAGGCGCCCGACTCCTCGAAGGGCCCCGAAACCCTGGACGCCGGCGACGCACTCCTCGGCGACGAGGTTGTTTTTCCACGCCGTCAGGACGCCGTCCGCCGGCGAAAAGCATTCCGACGTAATTTGGCTCCAGGGGCGAGCAGCGTCTCTTTCTCTCTCACACTCGTCCGAGTGCGAAAACGACAAAGACGGAGCGAGGAAAGCACCGTTCGGAACCACCGTCGCCGCGCTGCAGGACGAGGACGCTCCGGTGACGCGGCTCCGCGGCGCGCCGCCGTCTTCGCGTCATGGGGGGAAAGGAAAGGTAAAAGAGGAAGGGGGTGTGAGGTTGGTTTGGGTTGGGATGGCGAATGGCGGTCCGAAAGCGGTTTCGGCTTCGGCCGCGGTGTCGCACCGGGGCTTCTTCGCGGCTCGGCGCGGCGTGGCGCAACGTGGTCGCGGTCGGTGCCTCGCCTCGCCGCCCCCCGCGGCGTCGCGGGGGGGGGGTCGCGGGGCGTCCGACGTCCCAGCGGCGTGGCGCCAAAAGGTCACCCCACGCAGCGCGCACAGCGCATCGCGCATCGCGCGCATCGTCCAGCAGGCTCATTCTGAGAGTCGTCTGTCTCTCTCGCACCTATACGGGGCGCCTATGAGTGCGAGAGAGACAGAGGCCGTCCCGCAACTGGACGGCTTATGGAGACTCCAGGAAGAGAGGACAATGCAGCCAGCGCGCCCTCTCTCTCTTGTTAATCAATGGGGGTTAATAGACGGGGGCGTATGGCGGCGCGGCGTCCGAGTGATCCATCTTGGCAGACGTTGACGCTGTGCTGGAGCCATGCTGGAGCCTCGCTGGAGCCTTGCTGGAGCACGGCACAAAGGGGAAATCAATCAGTGGCGCAATCAAGCATGCCGCGGCCCCGCAGTTCCCACCCCGGGCCCCTTTCCCCCCTGCCTGTCTCTCTCCTCCTTTCCTGTCTCCTCGAGTCCGTGCCGCGGTGCCGCGGTGCCGCGACTGCCGCGGTGCCGCGACTGCCCGTAGCGCGCACCGCGTCTCCGTTTGCTGTGGCGCTGGCTGGGTTTTGACTTGGCTGTGTTCCCTGTTGCAGAGTGACGGTGCCCGGCTACCCGGCGCTGGCGTCCAGCGCGCCCCCCCCGGGGCCACATGTCGGCGTGGGAGCGCTTCGGCGTCGAGCTCATCCTCAGCTTCCTGCTCGTGCTCACCTACTGCGGCGCCACGGACGGCCACCGGCGGTCGCTGGGCGGCGGCGGCCCCGCCATCGGCGCGGCCTACCTCGCCTGCTCCCTGGTCTCGGTGAGTATGCCTTGATGGCGGCGGAGAGTGCGTAACCTACCACACGTTCGGCGCGGAAAAACTCTGCGCAGCCGTTCTCGGAGGCGTGCCGCGTGCCTGTCCTACGGCGAGGGCGTCCTCGGGCGACCGCACTGCTTTCCTCGCTGTCTCTCCCCGCACATCGACGGCAAGCGCCTTGAGTGCGAGAGAGACACAACGACGGGAGCAGTGCTCGGCTGACCACGCGCACGGGCCGCTGGTTTGATGCGGGTCTCGTCGGCACGAGCCTACACGACCCGGGCCCCGGGGGCCCGGGGGCCGGGGGGAGCATGGCGTCGGGAGTGGCGTCCGGCACCACGCCGACGGCACCCCCGGAGCTACCCTTTGGGCCGTGACGGCGGCAGTGGGGGGGGGGGGGGGGGATTGCCCTCAGATTGTGCTTCGTCGGCAGGCAGGCAGGCTGCACGTGAGGAAAAAGAGAGGGGGTGGGGGGGGTTTACGTCCCGGCAGTCTCGGCCACCTGCCGCGGTCCGGGCCTGCGATTGGTGGGCGCGTTCAGCCCCGCTGCACGCCAGCACGGCCTGCACGGCCTGCACGGCTGGAGGGTGGCGGCAGCAACAACAAGAGGAGCTTTTTTGAGGTTTCTTCTTTCGAGCCGTCGCCGTCCTCGTCTACCGCCGCTCCTTATAATACAAAACGGAGCCGATCGGCGTGGCCGCGGGCCATTATGGGGCTTCCTTGCCCAACAACAACAACAAGAGACGCTATTTCTGGCAAAAATCCTCCGCAAACCGGGGGTGGCTGGTGCTACGCTACGCAGTGCGACGTCTCGGAGGGAGGGAAGCCCGCCGAAGCTGGGCTTGGCGCGAGGGAGGGCCTACGCCACTGCTACGCCACTGCGACGCCACTGCCGCCTCGTGACGTATGCCGCGCGTTGCGTTGCGTTGCGCGGCGCTTGGCCTGCACGAGGAGGAGCAGGGAGAAGGGCAGGTGCGAGACGGGCGACGCGGCGACGCGGACCGAGAAACCAGTCGTGCGCCGGTCGGCCGGTCGGCTGGCCACTGCACCTGCCCGTCTTGTTGTCTCTAAATTATAATAAAGAGCGATAAAAAGGGGATTCGGGCTGCAGTGCCCGCCGTCCGGCTGTCCTGGCCGGCGAGCCTTGGCGTGCCCGCCTTGCCGCCTTGCCGCCGTGCGGACGTGCTAACGAAGGGGGCAGCACAGGGGCGGCAGGTGCAGCTGCTCCTGGAGGCTGGCTGGAGCTGCTGGAGCCAGGAAGGGGCCCCCCCCCCCCCCCCCCCCCGCCCCCCCCCACCCCCCTCCGCCCGCAGGCTGCCGAAACTGAAACGGAGCCGCTGCCGCTGAATGCGCGCCAAGCCGCTGGAATGCGAGCGTCTGGCCCAAATTTTTTCTTTCTCTTTTGCTTTTCTTTCACTCTGCTTTTTACCGTTTGGCGTTTGGCAAATTGCAAAGCGGAGTGAGAGGAAGCAGTTGGTTGGGGAGCCGGCCGGGGCCTCTCGCGGCCTCGCGTCGCAGGCCCTCCTTATTTTGGTTGTAACTTTTATATCCTCTTGAAAACGGAGATGAACAACATGCTTCGTATCTCCTTTGTTGGGGGGGACGCGTAGGGAGAGCATGAGCGTACAGTGTGGTGTGCGGGCCCCCCGAGCACAAACACGAGGCACTTGAAGCGGAGCAGCGCGGCCACTCGTAAGGCCGTTCGGGGAGATCTTATGGCCCGCGAGCCCGTCTCTCTAAACACCACCCCTTCAGCCTAAAGCCTGAAGCCTCCCGGGTGGCGGCTGTGCTCGGCAGCCACGGCGGGGCTGGAACCATAACACCCCCTTCCGCCGCGGTTTTCCTGGAAGAGCAGCTCTGAAGCGTTGTTTCGTCGCTGTTTCTCTGTCGCACTCGTGCGGCGTCGTGTCGGGGTGCGAGGGAGACAGCGCGACGGAACGAGTCTCAGTCAGTCACTCGCTCGGCAGGTCCGCCGGCACAATGCAAATGACTTTCTTTCCATGAGCTCCTCCGCGGAATCAAGTCCTGCAAGCATCCTGCCCGGGCCCCGGTATTTAGCACAACATGCGAGTAACACCAGGGGCCCCCACCAGCGACGCCCATCCGGTTTTCCCCGGTGCCGGCCCGGCCCCCGGCTGCCTTCCCCGCCCCGCGGGGCCCCCCCCGACTCTGGCTGTCACGCCGAGCGAGCAGGATGTTTGAAAAATGTGCCACATTTGTGGAACGGCGCGGCACCCCCGCCGCGTCACGCGTCCCGTCCGCCACCCCGCCACTCGCACTTGTTGGTGTTTTACGGCGGAGGGCTGGGGCGCTCGCTCGCGGTGTAGCGGCCACTTCCGCCCCCGGGGCCGTGGCCGTCGACTAGGGTCGCCACCGTCGTGGTGCCCGTGCGCAGGCTGCGCAGGTGATCTTGATGGTGGATGTACCGGTGCACGCACCCCCGCCCCCCCCCCGCCCCCCCCCCCCTACGGCATACGGCACCCTCCGAAACTAAAGCAGCGCCTTCCTGTGGGCCGTCTGGCCTGCCTACTACACTGCTTGTGCAGGTGCGGCAAGGGACGCAGGCAGACAACCCCATGTCTGCCTGGCTGCCTCGCTGCCTGCCCCTCCCCCCCCCCGACACACGTTTCCTGTTCTGATTCGCGGGGGTGGTCCCTAAATGATGACGTTTGCCAGCTTCTGACCGCGGCGTTGCTTGTTGTTGCAGATGCCCTCGCTAAACCCCCGCCCGCCCCTGGGCCCGGCCTTCGTGATGAACAAGTGGGAGAACCACTGGGTGTACTGGACGGGCCCCGTGCTCGGCGGCGTGGTGGCCGGCCTGGTGTACGAGTTCATCTTCAGCCCGCCCGCCAGCCGCGCCGGCCCTCGGACTCCATCGACGGCGACTCGAGCTCCATCCACTCCGACGAGGACCCCTACGACGACCTGGAAAAGGGGCGGCAAGACGCACCACGGCGGCGTGATGCGCTCCGTGCAGCCCGGCGGCGACATCTACCGGCCCGTGGGCCCCGTGGGCCCCTCCACCCTGGGATCCCCGGCCCCCGGTGGCCTCGGTGGCCTCGGTCCCCGGCAGCTACTGCCCCAGCCTCACGTCGGCCAGCCTGTACGCGGCGCCGCCCTGCAAGCTGGAGCGCGTCGAGTCCCTGTACGGCGGCACCAAGTCCCTGTACGCCAAGTCGCCGCCGCTCACCCGCGCCAACCTCAACCGCAGCCAGTCCGTGTACACCAAGAGCCCCGGCGCCATGGGCCCCGCCCTGCCGCCCCCGGCCCCCCCGTGCCCGCCCAGAGCCTGTACCCCATGCGGCTGGGCTCCTCTGGACCCCCCCGTCATCGGTAAGTACACAACTACTACTGTAGTGCCTCATACGCAAACCCCTCGGCTTTGCGGACGCCTTAGCTCATGGCCCGAATCTCTATCGTTACAGCACCTCATTGCCTGGCCAGCCAGCAGCCGCAACAACAGCAACAGCAGCAACAACAGCAGCAGCAGCAACAGCAGCAGGAGCAGGTGCTGAGCAGCGCGACGCACAGCAGCAACACGACCACCAACCAGAACGTGCAGAACCAGCAGAACGCGGCGCGCCACGAGAGCGTCTACGGCGTCCGCGGCGCGGCCAGCGGCGCCGCGAGCACAGGCGGTGGCGTCTACGGCGTGACCACCGTGCCCCACCACGTGCCCAACCCCCCGCCCACCCCGGCGGCTCCTCGTCGGCGGCCTCGTCGTCCGGCAAGCATGAGCGGGAACGGGAGCGCCGGCCGGAGAGCGTGTACGGCATGGCGGGCCGGGGCCAGGACTCCAACGACTCGTCGTACGGCTCGTACCAGAGCTCGGCGGAGAGGGAAAGGCCCGGCACCGGCGGCCCCGCGGAACGCGACCAGCGGACGGCAGCCTCGAGCCACGCCAGCGGCGCCACCACCCCCGCCAACGGCCTGGCCAACGGCCTCGCCAACGGGGGGCCCCCCCCGGCGCCAGGCCCAACTACGCGCACCTGCCCCCGCTACCCCTGGGAGGGGCCCCCCCAGGGCGGACAGGGCGGCATGCCCATGCCCATGACGGGGTCGCTGCCCGTGTCCATGGGCGGCAAGTGCGTGGTGGGCGGCTCCATCACCGTCACCAGCAACGGCAACTACGGCGCCGTGCGGCACGCGCCCCCCGGCATGGCCGCGCCCCCGCAGCCCCACCCGCACCAGGGCCACCACGCCAACGGCCACCACCCGCACCAAGGGCCCCCAGGGCCACCAGGGCCACCACCCCAGCGGCATGCACCACATGGCGGGCCACCAGTTCGCCGTGCACCACGGCCTCCACCACGGCCAGGGGCCCCCAGGGCCACGGCGCCATGCAGGCCAGGCACTCCCCCAGCGCGGCCGCGGCCACGCAGTACTGACGAAGCCGCTCCGCCGAGCTGCTGGACACCGACACCGGCGAGGTCCGCGACCGCCTGGTGTAGGACTGCAGCCCAGCTCGGCTCGCCCTCAGGGGCGTGATACTTAGGGCCTTGGGGATGCTTCAGGCTCCTGCCCTGCAACGCATGCAATGCCACCAACCCGCCGCACGCGGCAGTGCACGGCTTTACGCGACCGGGGGGCTTGGAACTTGAAAATCGACAGGGATCTTCATCTTGGAAACGCCGCGAGTTTCAGAAACTTCGTCCAATCTTTGGATCATTATTTCACGTAACTCCCTCCGTTTGCGAGATGAACTGACCTGAGTAATTTCTGACAAGTTTTGAGTCCCCCAAGAATCAGTAAAGCTGTGTTCTGCGGGGCGGCGTCACTTTGAATCCCACCGTTATGCGAACTGATGGTTTTGCTGGGGCAAAGCTGTTCCGGGAAGCCTCGCGTGCGAAGCCTCGCGTGCGAAGCCTCGCGTGGGTGGGCCTCCAAGTCAGATTGAGCTCGAATGTGCCAAAACGATTGTAAAGCGCTGCTTCAGGAGCAGCGGATAATTGACTGAACCCGTTTTTGTTTTTTTTAAATGTTGTGTTACATGCTCCATTAAGTTGTTGTTACCCATTTTTACCGTCCACACGTTCTGTTTACTAAAGTGGCTTCTCTCCAAATTTGGTTTGTCTTTATTTCATTTTTGTTTGCAATCAATGCAACTGTTTTGTTATGATTATTTTTGTTTTGAGCCATGGTGATGCCAAACTTTGTTTCAATTCTTTTTCAGGTGTTTCTGTCAATTCTCAGTCTTGACCCTAGCTAATGTGATTATTAAAATGTTAGTAAAATTATCAACAGATGATGTAAATATCGTGGTTTATTTAATACGAATTGTGAGTTCTAATCTTTTGTGTATTTCAAATTTTGAATCTTGTCATTTTTGTATGTATCTTAAGAAATAGACCAAATACCATCTGTATTTGTTAGCACTTTAGTGAATAATTGCCCACGATCTAAACTCGTGGTTGCAATGCTCCGAGTGAACTGTACTATTAGTGCATCCTGAAGATAGTATCGATTGTTCAGCACTTATCTTCGAAAAGTCGTTTTGTTTGTTAAAAATTTAAGTATTTATTGTAGTTGTTGTGATATATGTACGATATGTGAGCTTACAGAAATGGTAATATGTGACTCAATTTGTAAAGATTGTAATAATTTGAAACCTGTATTATTGTGTGTACAAAGAAAAATGACGATGATAATACTAATAAAAAGTCAAAACCAACAGTAAAGTATTTTATTCCATAGTGTTAAAGTCCCTAAAAGGAAAATATAGGCTTACACAACATCATCAGATATTTTAAGGCCTCAGCAGACCTGTGGCGTTCGAGTAAACGACTACAACGAACACGGTACCCTGACTGCAAACCTCAAAGCAGGCAGTGTCCTGTTCGAGGCAATCGCCCTCGACTTAGAGAGTATGGGATGGAGTAGGAATCAACCGTAGAGGCATCACGCACCCCGCCCGCAATGTGGCATATCCATTAAATCTTTGTAAAATGCGCGCTAGGCTGCGGCGATGGGGTTTTTGATGACGTCCTGCAGGACGTTGACGACCCGGTCCACGGCCTTGGGGTTGGCGTTGGTGCCCATGAGCCCCACACGGAACGCGCGTCCAAACGTGGGGCCGAGTCCGGCACTGAGATCCACGGCGTGCCTGCAAGGAGTAGCGTACAAGTTAGAATCACGCTGAAAGTGGAGACATTGGGACACTGCACTTGAGACACGACAAATGAGACCTGGCCATGGCGGTGCGCAGGAGGGTGGCCCAGTCCATGTTGTCGGGGAGGAGCACAGCGGTGACGGTGGCCAGGCGGTGCTCCGGCTTCTCCACCAGCAGGCGCAGGCCCAGGCGCTCCAGGCCGTCGTGCAGCCTCTGGGCGGCGAGCTGGTGCCGGCGCCAGGACGCCGTCAGACCCTCCTCGGCGACCAGGGCCAGGGCCTCGCGCAGCGCGTAGAACAGCGTCACCGGGAGGGGGTGGTGGTAGCTAAGGGCACCGCAGTCCTTGGTTTACAGGGGTCGATACGCGGTCGCGGTCCGATACAACAACGGCAGCTCACCTCCGCTTGCCGAAGCAGCCCCAGCTGTCGCCGATGCTCAGGACGTCGTAGTAGAAGACCGGGCACGGCGTCTTCCTCGACTGGATGTGCTCCCTGCAACCACGTCCGAAGACGAACTTTAGATCGGGCGCCAACGGCAACGCAAAGCGCGATTATCTTCCTGTTGCACTCACATTGCCCGCGGGCTGAAGGTGATGGGGGACAGCCCGGGCGGCGCGTTGAACACCTTCTGCGACCCGCTGTACACCACGTCCAGCTCCCAGCGGTCCGTGTAGAGCGGCGTGCCGCCCAGCGAGGCCACGGCGTCCACCACGAGCAGTGTGCCGTACTTGTGGCACATGGCGCCGAAGCCCTCCAGGGACTGGGGGACGCCCGGGGGAGGACTCGCCGTGCACCACGAAGAGCAGCCGCGGCCGGTGCTTGGCGACGGCCTCCTCGGCCGCCTCCAGGGGCAGCGGCTGGCCCCGGGTTCACGTCGATCGGCACCACGCGCGCGCCTGCAGCACAGTCAGGCCGTTAGCGAGCGCCGGCAACATAGGCCACCCATTCAGCGCGCGGACCGGGAGGGTAGGCAACCCAACCGACTCACTGCTGCACCTCACAGAAACATTGAACTTGAACTTGAGAGGCTAGACCACAAATGATCCTTTGCCGTTCGGGCCCGGTAACTGCCATGCTTGCATTGCACAACATGACATACCGTCCGTACAAAGAGCAGGAACCTTTACCTCGGCGGCCGGGGTCATATGCCACACCGCACCAAGTCCCAGTGAGAGCAGTCTTTTGGACTGTTCATCACTGCGAGCTTATACCGAGTCCGGCCCTCCCCTGCTTCACCCCGTCCTCACAGGGCCATGTTCCGTATGTCTTGGATTCAAATTGCTTCACCCACTTCACTCCTACCCTCCTCTTGATGCGACCTTGTAGCTGTGGTTGTGAGGCCTAAAACACTTGCAGAGCGGGCATCTGCGACACATCGCCGTCAGACCTGGAACGATACGAGGGCCCAAGGCCCACCCCCCCGATGCAAAACCTGTGTGCGACTTGTGCCGCGCCCCTCGAGAAGCCGTGCCAGGTACTGCAAGGCTGATCCTCTTCGGTCGCAAGGGGATGGGGACTGGACGGGGACTGCGGTGTGTCCGCTGGCGCTGCATCTCAGGGTGATCGCGACACCCAGAGCATTTGGGCTCCCGCCGCGGACCGGTGACTCCGGTACCGTCCCGATGGTGTCAGATCTTGCGCGCCGAAAGTAAAAGTGCCGGGTCCAGCGAACCAGCAGAAAACGACATGCGGCATGCAAGAGGGCCCTGCCCCCCCCCTACGCAAGGGTCGGGGGGTCGGGGGGGGGGGGAGGTGGGGACGCCTTCCTGCATGCTGGGTGCGACGCCCTCGCCCTACTGCGGGGCGGGGGGAGGGGGGGGGGCGACAGCCCGGGCGGCGTGCGGCCAGACGAAAAAAAAAAGGAAAAAAACAAAACCAGAGCAGGCACTTATCCATAGGCGGCGTAGGTATCCTTCCTCGGCTGCTGCTGACTCCAGGCTGGGGGGCGGGCGCGGGTCGGTCCTGGTGTAGCTACGCCACATGCCGGCCCGGGTTTTGGAGGGGGGCGACAGGGGCCGGCGTGCCCACGCCAGGGGCTGGCTTGCTGGGGGACGTACAGGGAAAACCAAAACGGGCGCTTTCCTGAACGATTCGTTGAACATGGCTGAACGGCACTTGGTGAGCGGCGACACCCGCCACTGCACCGTCGAACACTTTTTAGATCCGATTGCACAAAGAACAAAACCACTGATCTTCACAACACGGGGGACTGGACACTGACGCCGGCTGGACACTGGGCACTGTTGCTTTAGGTACCGCTGCCCCTCAGCAGGCCTGCCGGGGGGGTTGAGCGCTGGGGGGGGCCGGCCCGGGGCCGGCTGGAGGCTGGGGCTGGGACGTGCGACGCACACACGTTGCCACATGTGCGAGCGGAGGGGCCTGCAGGCCGTGTAAAAAAAAGGGCCGAACACTAATTTTCACAAAACTCGAACACTGATGCTCCGATCGCGCGAAACTTCAAAACCCCCGACGCACTGGGTGAACACGGACCGACCAATACCACACTCGACCCGGAAAACCGACTTTGTACCACCAAAAAACAAG